TCATCTCACCCACCCTTCCTCGGCTTCTCTGGGACGATGTGACGGGGGACAGCGTCCAAAGCCTTCCCGAGGTCAAGGGAGACAACGGCCACTGCTCTCCACTCGTCTCTCCAGCCAGCCACCCCAGCATAAAAGATTCCAGGTTGGTTAAGCGGCGTTTCCCCTTTGGGGATCCATGCCGACTACTCCTGATCCCCTGCTTGTCCTTCATGTACCTGGAAATGGTGTCCAGGATGAGCTGCTCCATCACCTTTCCAGGCATGGAGGTAAGGCTGACGGGCCTGCAGTTCCCTGGCTCCTTCTTCCTGCTCTTTTTTGAAGACTGGAGTGACGTTTGCTTTCTTCCAGTCCTCCGGCACCTCTCCTGATCTCCATGACCTTTCAAAGATAACTGAGAGTGGCCTTGCAATGACATTGGCCAGCTCCTTCCACACTCGTGGGTGTATCCTATCAAGACCCAAGGACTTCTGTGTGTCCAGTTTATCTCAGTGATCCCTAACCCGATCCTCCTCCATCAAAGGAAAGTCTTCCCTTCTCCAGACTTTCCCCCTCATTTTCAGGTCCTGGGATTTCTGAGGGCCAGTCTTAGCAGTAAAGACTGAGACAAAGAAGGCATTCAGTACCTCTGTCTTCTCTGTGTCCTTTGTCATCATGGCTCCTGCCCCTCTCAGCAGTGGGCCCACATTTCCCCTAGTCTTCCTTTTGTTACTGATGTATTTATAGAAGCCTTCCTTGTAGTCCTTGACATCCCTTGTCAGATTAAACTCCAGATGGGCCTTGGCCTTCCTAGTCCCATCCCTGCATATTTGGACAACACCTCTATATTCCTCCCAGGTTACCTGTCCCTGCTTCCACCTTCTGTAGACTTCCTTCTTCCGTCTGAGTTGTGCCAGGAGCCCCTTGTTCATCCTTGCAGCTCTCCTGCCCCCTTTGCTTGACTTCTTGCCCATTGGGATGGACCATTCTTGAGCCTGGAGGAGGTGATCCTTGAATATGAACCAGCTTTCCATCTTCTGTCTAGGACCCAGCCCATAGGATTCTTCCAAGCAGGTTCCAGAAGAGGCCCAAGTTTGCTCTCCTGAAGTCCAGGGTTGTGATCCTGCTTTTTGCCCTGCTCCCTCCTCACAGGATCTCGAACTCGACTGTCTTATGGTCACTGCAGCCAAGGTTGTCCCCAGACTTCACATCTCCAGCCAGCCCTTCTCTGTCTGTAAGCGTGAGGTCCAGCAGAGCACCTCTCCTTGGTTGTTTGTCTGTCATTTGTATCAGGTTGTCATCAGTGCTCTCCAGAAACCTCCTGGGTTGCTTGTGCCCTGCTGCGTTGTCTGTCCAGTGGATATTGGGGTGATTTAAGTCCCCCATGAGGACCAGGACCTGTGAACATGAGGCTACTTCCAGCTATCTGTAGAAAGCCTCATCTACTACTTCTTCCTAGTCAGGTGGCCTGTAGCAAACACCCACAACAGTATTACCCATGTTAGTCTGCCTCCTAATCCTTACGCAAAAGCTCCCAAACAGCCCACTGCCCACCCTTAGGCACAGCTCCATACATTCCCACTGCTCTCTCACATAAAGGGTGACTCCCCCTCCTCACCCTCCTGGCCTGTCCTTCCCAAACAGCCTGTATCCATCCA